GTACACGCACCTCAATTAAGATGTGTGCATGAAATTCTGGCCATAGGCACCAAACATTTTGGAAATCTGACATGATTTTAAATTGTCATTATTATAGTACTAAACACATTTCTATGCCACTTAAAGATAACTGGGACCTTAAGTACATAAACAGAGAATTTTACAGAGAAATAACTGCCATCCTTGGTGTCTCACCAGATACTGCAGTATTTCTATCCAAGTGTCTGCTTTTACTGCTTCCATTTCTCTTTATACGATGTTCCATACCAATGAATAGCTTGTCACTTCAGGTTGTTCGCCTTCTTGAAGGACAAAATGATCACTTCCATGCCTTGGAGGATCAGTTCGTGCCTAATTACTATCAATGAAGAAAAAGGTTTGTGTCCAAAGGGGAGGAAAAAGTGAAGAAGATGTTGACTTGTAAGGAGCATATTACGATTATATTAATATTTTGTTTCTCGTTTTTACAATCTATTTTGCCTTATCCCAATTTTGGACAAGGGATCGAGTTTACATAGGGCTTGAAGCTACAGTTATGCAGAAAGTCCTTGATAATGAATGGAATGATATGTGAACTGTCTCAATTTATTACAATAAATCATTTCGAGCAAATTCTTGTTTATATCATTAATATTTTGAACATGGTTTGTTTAACTTTGAAGAGACCTTACTTTACAGTTTACAGTGATGAGTTATTTGAATTTCAGATGATTTGAATTATCAGAATTTGTTTCAACTTTGAAATGATTCATTTTCTCATACAAGTAGAAATGTTCAGATTCTAACAAATGCATGCTATAAACAAAACTATATGTGTGTGTGGGTACCATGCTATAGCAAAATGAAGACTTCATTAAATTTCTTCTACTATGTAAATAATTTCCAAACAGAACAATTCAAAAAATGATGATGATTATTATTACTCTTCTACTGCTTGTGATTATTGCCCGATAAATATTTGTTCATCTTAGCTTATACTCACTGTGAAATTAGACCAAACAACAGTGGTCGCCGTTGGTTGGTGATAGATAGATGAGAGAAGGAATGATTACAATTGCAGAAAATCTATCTGAAGATGGAGACAGAATATGGATTAATGGGTTGAACCATTAAAAGTGCGTGGCAATCTCTTCCCTTTTATCGTGTTCCCCTTTTACCACACAATTAATCAAGTCTTGAAAATGGAAAGAAGAAGATCCCTACACGCAGTTTATTGCGTTTGCTGATACCCAATCAATCAGTACCAATATTTCTATCCAAAAACACAGTTCATGAGGTGACAGGATACACACATACGTACTGTTATCAAGTAAGCTGAAGGGGATTTTATGTGGAACAAACTGAATTTGTGAGATTGGTTGAATGCTGCAAAGTCTTCTCCTCCCAAATGTGGGGAGCAAGAAAGATTGAGATCCTTATCATTGTTTCTTTGGGTTGCTCCTCCACTTTTGCCTTTCCCAACCACTCCAAAACACTGCTTTATTTTCGCGCTCCAATGACCTTCCTTTTTAATTTCTTGCTATCGTGACTTCTTTTGGTTCTGATCTATTGGTCCCTGTTTTCTACAGTCACAAAATGGTTTCTTTTTTAAGAAATAGCCAGAGGGAGGGCACCAATTAATTACAAATGAGGAAAACTGTTTGGGGGCTTGAATTGTTAATGTTGGGTGGATTGAAAGGGGCATCCAATAGTTATAAATATGTGATGGGATCTTTTGTGAAAGCAACTCAACCATTAATTCAACGCACATCTCTTTTTGGAGTGACATTGTCTTCATTAGCAAAAGAAAGTGATGTGTGGAAATTGAGCCCCCCCTGTTCCGATTATACTAGTTGGATTTGGATTGAATAATCTACAGTATTTAGCAACTTCCAATTGACTGCTGCCATGCGAGTCCTATGAACTAGAGGAGAAAATAACGGTTACGAGTTTGCAAGTAATTGCAATAACTAATACTATTTCCAGTCCTAAGTATAAAAATTAGTTGATTAATTTAAGTATATTAAAAAAAATAAGTTAAACTAGTTATTTATAATAAATAGACTTGTCTCTCTTAAAGTATCTTTATTAATCAAATTTATTGGCTAGAACTACTATTATTAGAAGGACTATCTTGAAAATAAATAAATAAATACAAAAAATAAAGTACATTGAAGTTTTATATTTAAAACGAAAATAAAAATAAATAAGGCCTTATATTAGAGACATGAGGTAGTATTACCTTCTATTCTAGATATAAAATTTATAGTTAAGACAGGAGGTAGTCGTAATTTTATAAATTTTCAAAATAATTAAATCATCATTAATATTTCTTGAAATTATTACTATTTATATTACTTGGGATGTGACGCTATGTTCTACTTGCGTTTTGTCACCGTCAGAATACCTCGGTCTAGACATTTTGCCACCAGACAGAGAGGAGGGCAATATGATCAGCTTGGTCGCCTTGGCATGTATGGGGAAACGAGGAATCCCGAGGGAGTCTCAGGGTGTGTTTGGATTAGCGATAGAGAAGTAACTTTTTTTTAATTTGACTTTTACAGGAGTCAGATTAGATAAAAGCAGCTTCTTTAAGCTTATTGTGTAAGGGTGTATTTGGATTAGCGGTGGAGAAGTAACTTTTTTTTCAATCTGACTTTTACAGAAGTCAGATTGGAGAAAAGCAGCTTTTTTGAGTTTATTGTATAAGTCCGTTTCAATGACAGAAGTCAGATAGCCCCACCGCAGATCCAAACATGTAAAACCACAGTCACATTAAAAGCCAGATTGGGACGCACGTTTGGGGGTCCAAACGTGGTCCCAAACGGACCCTAAGTCCGTTTCAGTGACAGAAGTCATATTGCAAAAATGTGATTCCAAACACATCTTAAATAAAAAAAGCTCCTTTTGCCAGAAGAGAAGTCAGTTTGAAGTTCCAGATGTGATTCCAAACACACCCTCAATTTTATGTCGACCTCTAAAAAAAAAAATCCATGGAAATAATGGCTCTTTTAGAATCGACAACTATAATGTTATTAATTTTTTGAAGTGTTCATAATTCCTTTAAAAAATCCAGATGTCATTTCTCCTTAATTATGAAGCGCAAGGCTTTGTCATGCACACATGATCTCCATCTCTTCCCCCGGAATAAATAGATAAGTAATCAAGGAAGAAGAAAGAATATGATCCCAGTACTTCCTGATCTAATTATAAGACTTTATTTATAGACCATAAATATTATCTTATAATTAAAATCCGGAGTAGTATTTAATAAGCTGAAATAGGCAACCTGTGGTTTAAATACTTAGGCTCGAAATAAATAATTGATTAGTATAATATTAAAAGATCAGCACTGATTGCATAGGTCAGGCTCTGGGTGAAATTCCTGGAAATTTAATATTTCCATCAACCTGTATTAGATTCACATTTTCAATTACATTACTACTTGTATTTTATTAAATTTACTTGTATGCCGGACTAATATAATATCAATATAAAGCGTGAATACTTTTGCCTACATTTATGTGGCGGACAACGTGGAGCAAAATAGTATTACACTATATTCGGTTCTTAATACAAGATGTTATTTGATTTTTATTTTAATTCTAAATATAAGATTCTGATTCACTTTGTTTTTTATATTTATTTATTTTTTTAAAGATAGTCTTTATAATAATAATAATAGTTTTAACCAACATACTTTATTAATAAGGATACTTTAGAAAAAATAATATTTATTTATTATAAATAACCAACTTAACTAATTTTTTTAATCTACTCAAATTAATTAAATAGTTTTATATTAAAAAAATAGTATTGTATCTCATATTATTAAGTAACGATTACTAATATGCTTCTCGGCAAGCAAAAGGGTGAGCCAACAAATATTCTTTTCATAAGATTTATTAAAATATTAAAAATAAAGCAGTATTTTCTAGTTTTCATTATAATTACAATTACAAGGTTAAGATGGGGTAGCATAAGAATTACTCCCTCCGTTCCTTATTATAAGAGATAAATAACCGAATTACGTTGATCAAAAAACAGTTAAGTTAGTTAAGAACAATTAATGTATAAAAGTATAATTTTTTTCCAAAAATGCCCTCATTAATAAGGAGAGAGAGCATGAGAGAGAATAATTAAATTATTAAAAGAAAGAGAAGTGGGAGGGAGAGAGAGTGTGAGTTGGAGATAATAAATATGGGTAAAATAGTAAATCAACACAAAAAAATAGAGACAACTTGTAAGTGTCTCTTATATATAGGAACATGACATAAGCATCAAGTGTCTCTTATAATAAAGAACGGAGGGAGTATTAAAAAAATAAAATCAAACATCATGTTTCAAAAACTGAATCCAAACAAACGCTAGAGACGATGGCCACGCCCACGCGCAGTAGAGTAGGGGCAGAACTCAGGCGGGTGTTTAGTGAGGGACAATGACACGTCAATAACATCAAGGGGCGTCCGAGGATACCGTGGTCATTTCAGATCGGAGGCTGGCGTCCAATGTCCATAGTCCGTACCCGGATGAAGACGACAAGCCCAGGACAGGCCCGCCGCACCTCTTCCTCATGCCCACCCCTACAGCACACAGCGAGAGTGCAAGTCACGCTCTCCGTGGACGCTTGCCCTTTGTTACCGCAATGCCTCACAACCCGCCATCTCATCACGGGGAATGAACCTTCCCTGATTCCTCGACGCAAAATCCACTACCTCACGCGCCACCTTCTGCCCACTGAAGCCACCTCAACCACACAAGGGCTCGGCCGCCGACTCACATTCGTATGTATCAACATAGAATCTATGCATGTTCCCGTAACTAGAATTATCACTCTATTGCATGTTTAGATACATCACTTTCTTTTTTATTTGGGCCCAAGTTTATCTGCAGCACTTGGACGCCATGATGATATTTTTTGAATTTTTTTAATATTACAATTATAATAAAAATTTATAAAAATGAATTTTGTTAAATAATTAAATTATACGACCACTCCCGTGTTCCATTTGGCATTTATTCTTGAGAGAGAAAGGGGGGGAGAGAGAGGTGAGTGGGATTCCAACGTCGAAAGCAGAGCAGAACAGGCTGCTTCTCACAAAGCGCCCTGTTACTTCCTCTGATATTTCCATCTCTCTCAGGGTGTCGTCTATATAAACACGTATCTGAAGTCTGTCTATGCTCTGTTTCCAGGACGTGAGAGATTGATCTGTTGGAATCCTGGAGGAACTTTTCACGGTTGCCTGTTTCGGTTAAGGTACGTCCTTTCTCTCTATCTTCTTAGTGAACTGCGATTGTGTTCTGGTTATTAGGATTAGCCCCGATTCTTCCCTAATCTGAAACTTCTCTTTCAAGCTCCCCTCCTGTGCTTATTTTCACGTCGAGCAAACTCGTCGCTTCCATTAATTCATTTTCCTTTATCCTAATAATCAAACAGTTTCATCCCGCCCATCTTTGTTTTCGTGCCGTTCGAAGAAATTTCTGTTTCGGAGGCCGTGGACCTGGAACCTTTTGCTCAATCCCTCTCTCCCCCCCCCCCTTCTCTGACAGAAGAATAATACATATCACTGTGGCGGAATGAAAACGCCGTCTCCCCTTGAAATCGCGCAGCCATTCACTCCTGGATTGGTTTTCTTGTATTGACATGAGATTTGAAGATTTGCGGTTCGGCTTCAAATCTTCAATCCTTGTTTCTTCTTTGGTCTTTCGGCTATCATGCACCTCCCACCCTACGCTTGCTCTCACATGGTTCTTATTATTAATTAGTTTGCCGTTGACTTGTGTCTATTTGGGCGGAAAGTGATTCCATGTCGAAGCTTGCAATTCTTTTTTTTTTTTTTTTAACACAACAAGTGTGGTTGACAATGTAAAATCTAGTTATCAAAAGATTTTTTTTAAAAAAATCATTAATCTTAAAGCTATTTAGTACAACTCTCATTTTTTTAATATAAGATCTCATTTGATTTTTATTTTGGTTCTAAATATAAGACTCTAATTATTTTGTCTCTCATATTTATTCATTTTTTTAAGATAATCTTTTTAATAATAATAGTTCTAGCCAATAAACTTAATTAGTAAGGATATTTTTGCTCAAAAAAAATTAGTAAGGATATTTAAAAAAAAAATCTATTTATTACAAATAACTGAATTAATTTATTTTTTTAATCTATTTAAATTAGTTAATTAATTTTTATACCTAAGACACGAAGAATTACTTTGTGTCTTCTGTTTTTGGAAAAATTCACTCTAGTCTCACGATATGCGGCACGCGCGAGCGGGAGAAATATTTTCTTTATCTTAAGATTATCTTAAAATGGAATTTTCATATTATCAGTAACTTAATTAACTCGAATAGTTTTTTTTTTTTTAAAAATCAAAGCGTAGCTAACTGTTATTATTATTGTCCACAGAATACTGAGCTATCATTATTCCGTAATTATGACGCCATTGCCAATTTAATACCCAAACGCTGATGATTGTGGAATGTTACTTTATTTTCTTTTTCATGATTATTTTTCCTTTAAGAACAATAGGGGAAGATGACCTACAGACTCGTTTTCTTTTTTTTTTTGCTTTTCTGTTTTCCCAAATTACTACCTCTGGTCCTTAATATAAGACTCTAATCTATTTTGTCTCTCATATTTATCTATTTTTTTTTTTCAAAATAGTCCTTTAATAATGACAATTCTAGATAACAAACTTGCTTAGTAAGAATATTTTAGGAAAAACAACACTTATTCATTACAAATAACTAACTTAACTAAGTTTTTTAATCTCTCCAAATTAGTCAATTGAGTCTTATAATTAAGACCGGAGGTAGTATATTTTAACGATCATGTTAGTATTTTACGGATGCCATCGGTCACATGGAAGTCCCTTTGTGGCTTTATGTGATGGTTAGGGCCACCAAGACATAGTCATCTGGGAAATCTCAAAACAAAAGAAAACCACAGAAAGAAAGTGAAAGAAAACAAGTGTTCTGTTTAAATCGGAATAATATCATGATCCATGTCACATTCAGGTCTCTTTTGGTCTCTTTATTTTATTTTATTTTTTCTTTTTTCCCTCCCCGAGATTCTTGCGTCGCGGACCGAGTGTTCGCTGTTTTGTTACAACTTACGGGTGCGCAAGAAAGTTCCATCCTTATATTTCCTATCCAATTGCATCAGACCAAAATGGAATCCAAAAGCATTTCAATGCGGAATTGCCTACTGTTTAACACTACTTCCCTCCGCCCCCTTCTTGTAATTACCAACTAATGTATGCTCAGTTGCCAAAAATATATTAATGCTATAAATAAGGATATAATTCACGTCTGCTCGAATCTGGCTGCCTGTAAGATGTATGTCTAGACGCTCAGAAGGTACAGTTAGCACCCACCCAGAAAATCAACCATTTTGCGTTTTCTGATCCAAAACATTTCATGTTATGGGATTTTTTAGGGATTTAGTGCCTAGCTCGAAACTCAAAAGTAGATGGTAAGGGAAAAGTTTCCTTTTTTTTCCCCCTACTACTCTAATAAACTTTAATGGGTTTAGTGTATCCCTTTAAATTTTACGCCGAAAATGTCTCCTTTTAAAGATGATGCCTTGATTCTTTGGGCATTATTTATTCTTCTTTCTCTCTCCCCGCATTTCCTAATCGACTGGACACGGCGCGTTCAATATCTGCCTTATTTCTTAAAATCTCGGTCAAAGATCCTTAGAGGAAGCAGATTCTGCAATGGCACCATAATTTAACTGGTGCTTTAAGCTTAGGCATTGGCCACGTGAATGATTGACACCCGCAACATAAAAAAATTAGAAATTAGAAATAGTACTAAAGTCATATCATATTATGATGTATTTAGTGAAGGAATCTGTGCAACAGTGCAATTACTTGTTTGTTTACTTATTTTGTCTTCTCTGCTGATAATCTGTACCATGGTCTAGTGCAGCAATTTTGTCCACTAAAGTTGTATGAAAAACCTTGGACCAAAAGAAGCAAATGAAAAATTAACATTTGGATCAAAATCCTTTGTATAGTCTGGGTGTCGGTTACTCGGTTTCTTCTTTGCATACGTGGATGCTGGGGTGATGTGAACTGTTTTATCTGAAGTAAAACAACTGCAAAGCAGGTAGCAACACTTATTCTAACTAGGAACCGCTAGATTTGGGTAAGCTACGATATTTGAACTCCACAGTACTTCAGTACGGAATCGTAATGGTTGTTAATCAGACAAGAATTTCTACTTGTTGCGGGTAAATTAAGGCAACTTGTTGACTGCAGAAATTGAACTTGCGAATGGCTACAGTTTGCTGGCCATATTTTGATCCTGAGTATGAGAACTTCAGCAGCAGAATCAATCCTCCGAGGTATGCTATTCCTTCCTTTGATATGATGCTTTTTAACTGTGAGCTGCAAAATTAAAAGCCTCTTCGGGATAATATATTAAAGGAAAAGGATCTAAAATCGTACATAGCCTTAATATGCCTTAAAGTAAATCCTTACCGTCAAAGTTCATGGATATTTAGGTATATTTTACAGTGTTAGTTAGCTTTAGTTGAACTTAAACCCTAGCTAGACCCTAAAACCATAGCTATGAGGAAGTGATCATTCACTCAATTCTTAATGAGTCAGAGACTCGGGTTGAGTGCCTTGATGAGGACTTTGGGTTTATATTGGAAATTTTAAAAACCCAAATAGAAGTAACTTGTTGATGGTAAACTATGTTTGCACTTCGCAGGGTCTCTGTGGATAATGCTAGTTGCCATGATTGTACACTGATCAAGGTATAATTTCTCAAAATAACAAGTTACGAATTTTCATGGCTCCCATTGTCAGTCCTGATCTGGCTTCCTGATCTTTTCAGCAACCATAGCATCTTCAGCTTCAAAAGTTACTTGAACACTAAAACCTTTTTTTCCATATCGAATTTAGTATAATCTTACATGAAAAACGAGATTTTACCTACCCTCGGTGAATTCTGTAACCTAAAGAAAGGCTTTGGCCAAATTTAATGTGATCTAAGAATCCTTATTGCCTACATGTTTTTACATAAACTACTACTTAGCTATAGCATCTTCCTTTTCTCTATGAATAAGGCTCATGTAAAAAGAAGTAGGTCTTTGCTTATTAAAAAAATAAAAATAAAAAGTAAATGAATGAATAAGGTTCTGTATAGGTTGGGAAGAGGAGAAAAAAAAAATTACACATTTATACCCTCTCGTTTCTTCACCCGTCTGCCCCTTCATATTGCTTTTATCTCCTGAGACTTTGCACTCGTTTTCCTAGTGTAGACCTGGCCCCAATTCTCACCAAGCAGTTTATAACACCCCTCTGGCTGTAGACGAGGCCCACTCTCACTGGGGCCATCATAGGCGCAGTTTTTAGTCAATAGCATCTTATACATATGTAAATCCTGTTAAATCCTCATCTTGCCGGGGCTATACAAATTTTTTATTCCTTTTCGGTCATGCACAACATGATGCTACCCCCACAACATCATCATGGCTCATATACTCCATATTTCCTGGGGAAAAAAAAATCAGTACTGTTGTTATTATTAGATGAAATATGCTGATGGTGTGATATCAGCCTGCTTTATTAATGGATTATTATTTCGAAAAATTGCAGGTTGATAGTGTTAACAAACCTGGAATTCTGCTGGAACTGGTGCAAATTCTAACAGACCTTGACTTCATCATCACTAAGGCTTACATATCTTCAGATGGTGGATGGTTTATGGATGGTATGTTTCTAACTATGATGAAACTTAGTAATGCTTTGACAATGAACACACGGATATACTTTACCCATTCATGTTATTATAATCCGTATTAAAATCAGTAGACTATAGTCCATAACATTGGTTGTTATCAGCATTCTCTTCATTATTATGATACAATTATTGGCTAATTTGAGTTTTTACATGAAATATTTTGTGTCTGCTTTTGCATCTCCGAGCCACAATAATGCAACAATGCAACATGAATTTGACTGAGTTTACAGCCAAGCCAAGCCCCATATCTCCATTCTCTCTCTCATACCCACACATGCATGTACAGTTAAACACCCCCATACTTTCACTCGCATAAAATATCCAACCATGTGCATGTCCATGTGTGCCTGATCACCCCACCTTGATCAAGTGTTTAACATGTTCAATTAATGAAATTAACAGTTTTTCATGTGACGGATCAGCAAGGAAAGAAGATAACCGACATCAAAACCATAGACTTAATAGAAAAGGTATAATTCTTCTTTCTCCTCTATATCTGGTATTTTCTTTCACCAGAATCTGACATCATATCTGTATAACAGCCAAGTAAAGGTTTTCCATTACTGATTCATTTAAAATGCTGAGATAATAGAAAGCTTTCTTGGAGAAATGATACCGTTCGTTTTGTTAGACAGAAGGGCATCTATTGAGCTAAAACTGCGCATATCAAACACTTAGAGCTAATGAACCGTTTTCTTTTCTTTTATTTTTTCCCCATCATACAATAGGCTCTAGGACCCAAGAGCCAGAGCACGGAAGGGGTAAAGAGTTGGCCTGCCAAACGGGTTGGGGTGCACTCCATTGGTGATCACACAGCTATTGAGCTCATAGGCAGAGACCGCCCAGGTCTTTTGTCTGAGATCTCAGCTGTCCTTGCCAATCTCCAATTTAATGTGATTGCAGCTGAAGTTTGGACTCATAATATACGTATAGCATGTGTTCTTTATGTCAACGATGCTGCCCCCAGGGCCGTTGATAACTCAAACAGATTATCTCTTATGGAGGAGCAGCTCAAACACATTTTACGTGGATGTGAGGATGATGAGAAAGTGGCTCACACCAGATTCTCTATGGGTTTCACCCATATGGATAGGAGACTCCACCAAATGTTGTTTGCTGATCGGGACTATGAATGTACTGGAGTAACAGCTGAGATGGATTATCCTCCTTGTTTTAGGCCGAAAATAATGATAGAACGTTGTGAGGAAAAAGGGTATTCAGTGGTTAGTGTCAGGTGTAAAGATCGGGCAAAACTGATGTTTGACATTGTCTGCACTCTTACTGACATGCAATATGTTGTTTTTCATGCCACAATTTCATCTGATGGCCCTTACGCATCCCAGGTATGCCGTATCGTCTTATTTACAGCACTCCATTCTGGGAGATAGCACTTTGCCATCAAATTTTGCCTGTTTTGAAAATTTTCTGAAAAGCAGAGGAAATTTAAAATTGTCTCTGGAGGATTTCCTCTTCAGACTTAAAATAGACCTTAGAATATAAATCATTCTTCTTTAGATGAAACTAATGTCTTGATCCTTGAAAGCCTCATGATTTCTCAACTCCCTTGCATTAGTTTTCTTAACTGAATTATTGTTGTATTTGCTTCATGCACCTGATCCTTATACAACAACAATTGTGAAGCATCATTTAAGGTGTTCATAGAACAAGAGATTTTTCATTTTTATGTTGCTGTCCGAAGTCTGAACTGTGTGCGCGCATTAGGAGTACTTCATTCGGCACATGGATGGATGTACGCTTGATACTGAAGCGGAGAAGGAAAGGGTCATTAAATGCATTGAGGCTGCTATTCAAAGAAGAGTAAGCGAGGTATTGCGTTTAAAATTGATTTCTATGTTCTTCTGTGATCCTTTCAAAAAGAGAAGTCGGGGATGAAACGAGCTCTTGAGTAAGTCTCACCATACTAATGATAAGCAATTTCCTAAACTGTCTAAGCCACTGATTTCTGTTATCCCCTTGGCATGAATGTTCCCCTGGTCCCTGGACTTTCTTTTGACTCCATCTTTTCTTGTTTCAGCCAGTTTTCTTTTCCTATCTCTTCCTTAGGGATGTTTTTTTGTCTTCTACTTACAGCAGCAAGCTTTCTGAGTTTAACCGAATTAATGCATTTTGGATCTGCAGCTATCTACTTGTATTGTTGCAATGGTACGGCAGATACATGGGGCTAGGTTTCCACTCAGATTGTATCTGACCATCATATCCACTAATCAGTGGCAGTGGTCTTTTGCCTTCAATAGAGCTTAAGAATCTATATGCTCCATGTAATATCATCCACATCCCTATAATCTTAAAATAGAAAAAATGCAAATGAAGGAAGAAGCTTCTTCTGTAATTTGCGAGTGATAAATTGATCAGTTGATTATCAGTCATATCGTATGCCGGCTCAGCAGATTAAATTAAGTCTACTTCATTTGGTTCTTGAAGAAACACAAAAGATTTTAGCACTGATTCTGTGATTTATGGACGCAGGGTGTGAGCCTTGAGCTGTGCGCAAAGGATAGAGTGGGGTTGCTATCTGAAGTAACTAGGATTCTCCGAGAGAATGGCTTGACGGTTTGTAGGGCAGCTGTATCCACCATTGGAGAGCAAGCACTGAATGTGTTCTACGTGAGAGATGCTTCTGGAAATCCAGTGGACACGAAGATTGTTGAAGCACTTCGCAAAGAGATGGGGCAGACCATGATGGTGAAGTTGAAGAGAGTACCAACCAACACCGAGGCGCCTGAGCCCCGAGGGTGGGCCAAAACAGGTTTCTTCTTTGGGAACCTGCTGGAAAGATTCTTGTCGTGAACAATTGCGTTCCCTATTTTTGGGAAGGAGGCACATCATTATATATATAAGAATAAATCTGATGTGTACTGTCCTTTGCCACTTTCTATCAGACCTATGCTCTGTAACTTAACCTTCCTCCAAAGTCCAAACCTTGCCCGCCTTTCATTTATTACTGTTTCTTCGTTTATCTCATAGCCCCTTATTTTAACATCTGACGCATCAACGAAAAGATAATCAAGAAAAATAACGCCCACAGGCATTAAACCACCTGATGCGCGCTCGTGTCTTGCCTTGCGACCACACATTATATAGTAGGTGGCATTAAATATTATGAACGCCTATATGAAACAGACGTACAATCACCATCCGGCGTTAAAAATAACAGAAGAGTTGTGATAAGAAGCAAAGTTGAGCCGAAAAATTGCATTGGTGAATGCAAGGCGATGATATAAGATACAAAGATAAATAAGAAACTTGGGAAGTTCCTTGAATTAAGGGATTTCCGCAAACAAGAGTTAAAAAAAAAATGAAGAAAAAAATTGTGCAAAACAAAATGTGCAAGCAACATAATACGTTACTTGTTTTAGGTTTAATGATTATTATATGCTTTTTAAACATATTATTATATGTTAATCGAATACGTTAGAGGTCACGACTGGATAATACTGGATTGAAACGCAAGACAGTACAGGTAATGGGCGGAAACACCAAGCAAATGAATTTGACTCGAGAACGGATTTCCTTTTCTGGGGAAAAAAATCCCACAGCAAATAAATTCGTTTTACGTAGTTTATAGTGCTTGGTGATTTTTAACTAAATATCTCGAACTTGATAGAATTGGAGCCGAAAGGACAAATGTTTGAAAAATTACTGGCTCCATTGCTCCGAACAACGACGACTTGAAGGCGATCTTTTTGTCTGCTGTTTCAATAAATAATTGGGATGAGCCACAGTCACAGTCGTCCCCAGCTGGTTCTTGTCAAGTAGCAACCAAATTGACCCGAAAAGCTTCATGGCCACAATAAACCAGATAAAACTGAGAACTGCATTTTTCTTTGTTTGCCTCCGCTTCACGAAGTTGCATATTTGGCTACTAGGGAAAACTACAAAATCTGATAAACATAAAAGGTTAAGAAGTCTGAGCTGGATGAATGTCAGCAGAAGAAAAGCACGGGAGGCATTTTTTGTGCGTTCTTTATGGATAAAATTCTCTGATAAGTGATAACACACATATAGTGTGTGTGTGTTGGACAAAAAGTTATAACACAACTAGTGCCACGTTCACATCACACCTCAGCTTATACTGTTTTGGTCTTATTTATAAAGCAGAGAGATAAGATATTTTTTAGTTTTAATTTTTTTTTAAATGGATGTACAATTTTAGCTTTCTTTTATTATTATGTTAATTTTATTTACATGAAGTATAACATATATTAAATAGGAAAAAAATTGATAAGTTATTGAATTTTAAATGAAAGTTAACAAAGTTTAACATTTTTCTTAATTTGTATGAAACATATTGAAAAGGATTTATAAATAGGATAAGAAAAGTATGCGTAGATTTTATCAATTCAACCCCGCCATCAGTGGGATGCTTTTTTTGAGATTTCATATCTATTAAAATAAAAATAATTAAAAATATAAAAAATAAATAATAGTATTAAATTTATAGCATTCATTATTAATGTGAACATTTTTTGTTTTGGTTTGCCAATATTAATGTGAACAATCTTAGACATTGAAAGTTTGAAACTCTAACCAAATTAATGAAAACACTGCGAGGCAGGGAGTTTGATTTGATAAATGAACGCTTGAAGAAGGCAAAAAAAGGTTTAGCATTCAATTAAATTTATTTCTGTTCGTAAAAGCTTAATATTTTTCAGATATACTCACTCATTCTTATATTTATAAAATACTTTGAATATATTTCACACAAGCTAAAAAAATTTTAAACGGTATGAACTCTTTCTCAAAATAATAATTTTTTAAATTTTATTTATATTTAACATATATATTTTTCAAAAAATAATTATACATTATAATAAATAAAAAATAAAATAATATATTCATACTAAAAATTTATTTTAATTAAAAAAAATTTCTGTCTCATAAATATAATGAGATGGGAAGTACACAAATATTTATCACACAGGTAACGACACCAGCTCAACAAAGCATTGATGATTTAGTCGTGTCAGATGTTTGATGATGATAGGAACAAGGCGTGAAGTGACATTTTTCCCGTTATCCGTTTCGCAGTCTTCAAATACGAAAACTGATTATTGATTAATCCCGGATTTATTACTTGATTAATAACATTAATTGCCTGAAATATATATAAAAAATAAATAATTAATAGAGCCCTCATTGCGGGGCTGTGAAACCGCTCCGAGGTGCGGTTTCGGATCTAAAGAATAGAAACTTCTACACAGTTCTTTGGTCATCACCAGTCACGACCTTTATTCTCGTCCCTTCCCTTCCATCCACTCCAATTTCTTCTCTCTCTCTCCAGATGTTCTTCTTCCACAGTTACGCCGGTTCCGTTTTCCTTTGTTGTTCAAAAATTATTTTTACGTTTATGCCCCCATATTTAGCTTAAAATTAATAAATTAATTCAAATATTTTAAAATCAATTTTTTTTCTCATTGCCCGTTTTTCTTGTTAATTTTCTTTCTGTTTGTGAAGAGTTACTCACGAGAACCAAATTGTAAGCTTAAAAAAAAAGATCTTTTATGACAAATTTTTAGTATCCAAGAATTTTAAATTTATTATGAAAAGCCTCTCTTATAAATGATAGACAACAACTTGTAAATTAAAGAGGTTTTTTTTAATTTGTACAAAATCACTTGTAACTATTTCTCATAAAAGAAATAAATTTTTTTCCCCTCTTTAAAAGCCCAGAGGGATTTTGATCCGTTGGCCGGGGGGGGTTTTGATCATTTTATAATTATAACTGTGCCTCATTTTAAATTAATTTCTAGTAAGATCATTATGCAAATTTATGGTTCTTAGTGGTAAATGTGGTTATTATTTATTCGTCAAGAGCAATTTCCCTTCTTTCTTTTAATAATAACTGTGCCTGCATTATGGTACGCCTGCAGAGGGGACCCACATAACTGCTGCATCACTCAACACGTGGCCTAGCACGCGTCGTTCATCCTTGCTCCCGCAAGGTGTCATACGCTTCTCCTCGGCTTTTCTCCCCATCGCGTACGGTCATTGATCTTCTTCCCTCTTTTCAACATCTATTTTGCATTATTTTATATATCAGGCCTAGCTCTGTGCTTTCCTATTTAGCTTTATATCAGGCCTTCTCCTCTTGCTCTTTGCTTTTCGATCAAATATATTATACATAGCCTTCGCCTTGCACGCAATTGAACTGTTCGGGGTATTGGCAGAGCCGGGCAGTATATTGTCGTTGTTTCTCTTCTCTGGCTGTAACGGTAATGATCTCAGCTTCACTATCTTGTTTTCTCTCTGATTATCTGTTCCGAAATTTTTTCCCTTATGTTGATTGGCAACTGCTAAGGGATATATTGCTCCATTTTTTCCATTTTCGTTTCCTGATCTTTTGGTCCTTATCTTCCGGTGTTATGCTCATGACTAAAAGCTGCGATTTTGTTTTGCTCAAGCATGCTGTGATCACTCATCATCTTCCCTAAAAATTAGAGCTCCTTGATTAATTGATTACTCGATTTATTCTATCGTTCCAAATTTCATAAAGGGGTTCTCTTTCTGGGAGGAGTTTGATATTCTCTCTGTTTTTTCTTGAGTCCTTTGCAATCTACAGCTGAATAGCCTGTGTCAAGTTTTGTACTCTGCGAGCACGTAATTTGGTAATTGGAATTTTTTGAGATGGCTATGTATGTAAGGTGTGGAATTATCCTAATCAGATAGGACACTTACAAAAGAAGAATCATCCTTGGTTGCTTTCTGTGCCAACTTGCATATTGCCTTGGGCCGTGAACTTTCTCGGTTTTTGGTTATCATCGTTTTGCTACAGCTGTTTCTTTTCTGTAACCCACAGTCTGAAAATTTTGTTATTCCTATATGAATATACATAACTTGTAATTTGGAATTTCTATGGTATAACTTATACTCAATTTGGTTACGGAAACGAGAGGCTGAAACACTTATCTGCTTGGTGAAGGGCGGTTGGGCTAAAAGTTGAAATGATTGGCGAGGAGAACTTAAGGACGGCGGACTTGAACTTATGCTTTGAGCAACTTATGATGGTTGCAGGCGGTGGTAACGGTGGAAACAATACTGGAGGAGTGAAAATGGAGGCCGGGGTGATCACCGAATGGAAGGATATTCCGGTGGAGCTTTTGATGCAGATTCTGTCCCTTACTGATAATCAGACTGTGATCGCAGCTTCTGGAGTCTGCCGTGGATGGAGAGATGCTATATGCTTCGCCCTTACCCGCTTGTCACTCTCATGGTATATCTCTATTTTTCCCTCCCAATCTTTGTTTAAGAGTGTGTTTGGATGAAACCAAACCGTGGTTTTAAAAAGTGATTTTGGAGAATAGATTCTGGAAGAATAAATGTTATGAAAAAGTGATTTTGAGAAGTGAGAGTGCTTGAATAGTTGTTATCAGAAGCACTTTTTATATATATAAATTACTAAAAAAAAGACATAAGTTAATATGATAATTACAGAAAAAATAGATTTTATGATATATTTTAATTTGAAGGAATAAAATTGTTAATAATATATTTTTATTAACATAATTAATAATACATAATATAATATAATTAATAAATAATTAATATGTATATATATTTTAAAATATAAGATTAAATATGTTTATAAAAAAATATGTTTATAAAAAAAATAACAAGATTCATATCTTATAAGCTCTCACACTCTCTCTTTTTTCTCCAAAAGCAAAAAATTTCTGCTTTTTTCAAAACCATGGTTTTGGAACCAAAACTATAGTTTTAGTCCAAAACCACGGTTTGCCCAAAACCAGTGGATGTTTGGGTGACTTATCATCCAAACTATGGTTTGGGGTGTCACCCAAACGGAGCCTAAATTAGGGTGCTTTAGTCTCAACTTCTTTCTGAAGGATTACTCATACTGAACTGTTAAGCTATTAACAAGGCTGAGAAAGTCGAAGTTTCCTAGGAAGTAGGAATCACTAGGCTGTCAGACTCTGCACCTTGGTGTATGTCGTGGGACTCAGTTTCAGATGATGAGCACCAAATATAGGCCGTCCCTGTTAAAATTGGATAGTGTTACTTTGTTTTCATATTTTTAATAGTCCTTTGTTTTAAAAGATGCAGACTCTAAAAGAAAGATAATATTTTAACCGTGACTCTTAAAAAAATGAAATTTATTATTTAAAAAATTGTAAATTCTAAACTTTAAATTTGGTTGATTTCATATCTCTGCGATAATTTCGAATCGGACCTGTTAGCTTTGTAACATCAATTCAGAGTTTATTAAAATTCTTCTCTTTCTTGTAGGTCTTGGTTAGCCTTTTATGGGGTCTATATTATACTAGTGATCGCTTTGTTGAGAATTAAGTATCTTTACTAGTTCCTTTCTTTTTCCCCTCAGTGGTCTCGTCCTCTCTAACAATCTGTACAATTATTGGTTTTCCAGAAGTTTTATTATCTAGTTACATGTAAGTTATGACCATGTATTGATATTATTTTGAAAAAACTGATATATGCTTTTTCCATTGATTTATTTTAGTTCGTGAGATGACTTCCATCATAACAACATGATTACTTAACTCCTCTTTCTTCAGGTGTAGCAAGAACATGAATGACTTGGTCCTATCGCTCGTGCCTAAATTTATAAAACTACAAGTTCTAATCCTCCGTCAAGACAAACCTCAGCTAGAGGATAATGCTGTTGAGACTATCTCAAATTGCTGTCCCGATCTGCAGATGCTGGACCTCAGCAAAAGTTTCAGGCTTACTGATCGGTCTCTGTACGCCTTAGCCCGTGGATGTCCTGATCTTACAAATCTGAACATCAGTGGATGCTCGGCATTTAGTGATGTTGCTCTGGCATACCTAGCCAGTTTCTGCAGAAAATTGAAATGTTTAAATCTTTGTGGATGTGTTAGAGCAGCATCAGACGCAGCATTGCAGGTATAATTTAAGACACCAGCTGCTTGCTGTTACCATTTTACTATTTAAAACCAGATGATTACCAGATTCCATTAGATGTTGCATATAAAATGCAGGCTATAGGACATTATTGCAACCAATTACAATCCTTGAACCTTGGATGGTGTGAAAATGTTGGTGATGATGGAGTGACAAGTTTAGCGGCTGGTTGCCCTGATCTTAGAACACTTGACTTGTGTGGTTGTGTCCGTATAACAGGTACAAAAAATTCTATAAATTCATCACATGGATTATTACCTAATGTGATTAATTATGGTATTAATATATCAGTGTCTCTGCTTGGCTTGCTTTGCGATTCATTTCTCAACATTTCATCCTTTATCTCTCCTTATTGAGGATATCTTTTTTTTCCCCCCCTACAGTCGAAGCGGGTATGCTCTTTAAGATGTGTATAAAAGCCAATCCGATAGTCACGTGGCCTACATATTTAGCTTTAGTGATGGTTTAGGATTCATAGTTACCGCAGTAAGCAGTTGCTTTATGTATGCAGTGTTAGCGAATGAGGATGGGTTGAAGGCTTCGACGTCTCCTTAATAACACAATTCTGACTTTCAAATGTTGTCATTGCAGATGAGAGTGTGATTGCTTTGGCAAACGGGTGTCCCCATCTGAGGTCCCTTGGGCTGTACTACTGTCAAAACATCACAGATAGAGCAATGTATTCATTGGCCCATGGCAAAGTGAGTAATAGGATATGGAGATCTGTGAAAGGAATTAATGAAGAGGATGGGCTAAGAACTCTCAACATTAGCCAGTGTACAGCGCTTACACCCTCTGCTGTTCAAGCCGTGTGTGATTCGTTCCCAGCTCTTCACACCTGCTCCGGCAGGCATTCACTCATCATGAGTGGCTGTTTGAACCTCACTTCTGTGCATTGTGCTTGTGCTGTCCATTCACATCGAGCATTCACCTCCCTTCCATATCAAGCTCATTGAGCAGAGCTCCATGGGCTATACTTGGATGTTCCAGGAAGTGCGCTTCCACGGCTCAGAGAAGTGAACATTCCTCTTTTTGTATATATTTGTGTGGAACTTTATAAAATGTGAGAGACTTCGGCCGCAAATTAGCAGCCTTATGTTGTTGGAACCTGCAGACTATGTAGAACAACTTGAACTTTGTATCTGAGTAGTTTTAGTTTCCAAGATATCGTGGAAAGCGTCTGACATTTTGACTGCAAGAGCTGGGGTGTTCCAAATTGGTTGAGAGACGGTCTTTCATGCGCTGTTACGCTTTTAACTGAAAGGTTTATTTCCTGTAAGTTTCTGTCCACCTGCCTATTAGCAAAATGAGCTTATTATTATTGTTGTTATTGCTGCTGCAACTGTTACTACTAATTGGCGTCATGGATTCGCTTCTTTACGGCTGTGAGAGATGAGGGACTTGAAATGGTAACAGAGGAATGAGAATAATATTACGTATTTAACAAGGAACGGGGTGTGGTTCTGACAGTTTCTTCTGACTTGAAATGCTTTATGGAACACGAGTGAGTGCGACGTGGATATTCGGTTGGGGAGATGGGAGGCTGGGCAGTTGAATAGAACATGACTGCTCCGTTTATTGGATATGAAAATTGGACATGACGAATCTTGGAGAACGTACCACGCAAATAGGGACCGCTATTTTCCGTCTTTCGTTTTTCTAGACATTTCTCAAGACTCGAAATGAGATTCCTCATGCCCATATCTCGTTGAAGTTTGATTTGTTCCCAACGCATTCGAGTATATCCCCTGTATACGTTTCAGTTGCTTGGCACGTACTGTAAGCCAAAAAATATGAATGCTTTTTTTAAAATTAATATTTGAATAAGGAATAAATTAATGTTTTATTAAATAACTCCTCATTTTATCTCTTACATTTGCTCGTGATCTACTCCCTCCCCACTTCTCTCACCCCACACACACACACACACACACACACACAAGATTAGTTTGAGATAAAAAAGACTTGAAGAAAAAGTAGTATGATGAAAACGATGCGTTTTTAAATGATTACACCAATGACAAATTACACATGGCTGGCACCACAGTTCCTCCGAAACTCTGCAAGACAGTATGACCTTTTACTATAACTATCATCACGAAAGCAAAATGCAGAACAAGGGCTGATATTCTTGTTTCACGAACCTCAGCGTCAACATCTGGCATGCATCATTTGCTTATGAAAACTATCCGTCATCCTCATCAAATGCTGGATTACAGAGGCATTTGAAGAGCTTTTCTATACCCTGCAGATCATGGGGAAAATGAATTTGTAGATTCCGGTAATCAACGTTTCTATGCGAGGCACAAATTAAGGATAATAAAAAGGCCAGAAGGCGTGCCAAAAAAGGAAAGTGATCTATAACATGCCTGATTGAAAAATGAAGCTCTGGGTGATTCATCATCAGATGAATCAGAACTATTTCCTTCATCATCAGAATCAGCGACAGTTTTCTTCTTTGATTTTGTACCTCCTTTCGATTTCTTTTCCTCAAATCGTAATTATAGTATTCATTTAGAATATAAAATACACAAAAGACTTCATTCTGCAAATAAATGTAAGTAAGCTCGAGCATATGTACTATGGACAGGAAAAAAATAACAAAAATCTGCTGACAAATTAATTTTACTGTCATGGGGAGTAACTATAGCGATACTGAGAATGCAATTGACAACCTGCATTAAAAGAACGAAAAGGCAAGACTATTTCTTATCGTGCACCTGAAATATCTTCCCGAGAATTTTGAGGGCTCTAGCCCGAGCTTTAAGTTCTTCTTTCTTGACATTGTTTTCCTTAAGGACCTACACAAAACAAATAATCAAAATCTCGTTAAGAATTTCATTGCCATTATTAAGTGTCCTACCTAGTGATAAAATTACCAGAATCTCAAGTGAATGTGGCGAAGCAAAGTAAAATTAAAAAATTTAAAACGGATAGTGGGGCCTTCAGACATTTCCAACTGCAACTTCTACATAATGGATTCCAACTTCTATAAACTACCTCCACTTCTTAATATAACATTTAATTTGTAATTTAATTTAAATTACAAACTAGATCATATATTAAGTACATAGTATTTTAAATTAAAAACTCACCATTTGACACACATGTACTAGTGTTACTTCTATGTCGACCACATTTAATTTCCACAAGGAACTCATCAACGTATCCTTATTAAGGCGAATATGGGACTCAACATTAATTTCAGCGCCACTACCATCCATTTTAGATTGCTTGCGGACGTCCTCTTGAAGCTGCGGTAACTGAAAAGAATCTAAATTTTGTGTAGTAAGTAAAATTAGATACGAATGACAATGTGGAGCACTAAAATATATGAATGAGTGCCTACTTAAGGGAAAATAATCTGAAAAATAACCTTAGTATCACATGCATTGGGTAAAAAAAAAAAGCCATGTTAGTAGAGCTTCCTCCATTTGGATTCTAATTTGACTCGACTTTGCACTAGATGCAGATTGTTTATTTAAAGAATTAAAGAAAGCCAAAGAAGAAATGGATCACCAAAATCAAATCATCACAAAAAGCCCAAAGAAACAGCTAGTAATAAAAGGAAGGATCACTAACAGTTGCCCGTAAGGATACCTTTAGCAGCTGTGGATTGTGCCTTCCAACACTGTCCTTTGTTCCGAACCCATTCTCCTAAAAATGGCACGCCAAGATATATAGCCTTTTTCCCTAGTTCTTGCGCTGCCTGTCTGGAGTATATATAACCGATAGTATGTAACATATCAACTCCAAAAGCTGCATATAAACAATGGCGACGATTTGGTATCGATTTGATCGGGGCGTAAAAATGGCAGCAATTTGGTGACAACATTTAGTGTGCATGCAATGACATGCTACCAACCAAGTTTCTCAATTGCGAAGTCGTTATTTTACCCTTGTGATATATTCAAGGTCTACAGGATGAGAGGACCAGAAATATCATACAATATTTAATTTCTTAATATCATAATCAACTTCGCTTAAAATCTCAAAGCCGCTGGGTAAAAGATATTCAAGAATCGGATTCCGTGTCATGTTTCTTTTAAGTGGCATACATTGAGCTATGGCATGTCATGATGAGCATTTGCATGTATTTGCGGTGGGAATAAGAACTTCGATCAACCTGCATTAGAGAGTCGTCTCGCTTCAGATTCTGCACGCTGGAAAAATCCCTTTTTATCACCACGGACATACTGACTGAGAAACTCTTTCAAGAATCTTGCTAGTTCTTCCTCTCTTTCTCTTTGAACAATCTATATAAATGGGAAGCAAATTATACATGAGAAAAATGAGGATGGCTTTTGTTTACTCATTTCCAGAGGTAAATAAAAGTAATATGTCATGGTAAACGTCATCTCTTCTGCACCAAAATGTATATGCAATGCACAAGATGTTAGATAATTTGAGCATCATCCCTACCTTGACACCGAGGGCTTTCCGTTTTGATTGTACGCATTTCTTTGCATTGGATCGCTCAAAACTTGATAAGCTTCACCCAGAAGCTGTCAAAACAGAGAGAATCATACAAAATAAAGTAACGGTTTCAACTTAAGTGTCCTCCCAGTCCCATCATGCTGATCAGGATGTAGAATGTGTACTATAGTCTATGGGGAAAATTATACATCGCTTTCCTCAACGAGCAACTTCTAAAATTAACTTCCACTCAAATCAAAATCTGCATTACTATATAGAGGAGACTTGCCTGGAACTTCTCCGCAGCCTGAGGATCATTTGGATTTTTATCTGGATGAACACGCATCGCCTGCAGCAGTAGAAGCAGCAGCTCTAGCTCTGAGATAAGAGAATCTAGAAAATCTAAATCTCATCCAGAAGAAATAACCAAAGAGGAGCGGGACTCACTCATAATCTAACAGGACAAATTTTAGGGGGGAATACACGAAGGAAAAGAACGTATCATGAAAACCAAAGCAATGGAGTCAAGATCAGATCCAAACCTTCTGATAATAAGCCTTGCGAATCCCCTGATCGGAAGCAGAGGTACTAACCCCAAGAATATCATAATACTCTGTTTCCTTGACCATTGTGGACAACGGAGTAGTCAAGTGAGCTTGGAATATGGGGAGATAGGGAGTTTACTAAAAGAAGAGGATCAGAAGAAAGTGAATGACTGAGTGAGAGAGAGAGGGAAAGAAAGAAAGAAAGAAGAAGAAGAAGACGAAGACAGAGGTTTGAGGCCCACGATAGTCGCATACCTTTGCCTTTCCAGTTCCTGAGACATTTTACTAATTCGGGGAAACCGCTTTGTCGCGGGAGGGGACACTATTTTAAGTAACTGATCTTTGCGCTGGCGCTTTATCGATCCTATCATTTTCAAATTTCAAGCCCCTTTTTTTTGGGCCGAATTCCCCCCCCCCCCTCCCCGGGGGATTGCGCTGCTTTTCCAAAAGAATTCAGGGCCTAGCCTGCCTCTTTGGGCTTTTTTTCTTAGTTTGTACTCCTAAACAAACAATTTCAGATATGGTACTATTTAGGGGATATTTAGATATTATGAGAAGTACTTTAAAATTATTTTTTTACAAATCAATATAAACTTCTTTATATACTACCTTCATATATAGTAAAATTAATTTTGAAATTATGATTTGGTTTACATCTAAAACTTATTTATTTTCCTTGTGTTGGTTTTACTTTTGACCCCAAAAAAATGTCAAGTTTCCTTTTCTCCTTCCATTTCTTTATTAATATGCTCTTTAGTAGTTCAGGTTCAGAAGAAAGAAAGAAAGAAAAAGTCATGACCCCAGGGGTAAAGTACCTACTAGAGGAGGCTTGAATTATATAAAGGGATAAAACTTGGAATTGAGGGTGATCACTTTTGCCAATAGAAGGCACCTACGGCAAAACAAAAGCAAGAGGTCCTACCGGGAGTCGAACCCAGGTCGCTGGATTCAAAGTCCAGAGTGCTAACCACTACACCATAGAACCTAGATGACACCCGGCGGCAATTCAAGTTATGTAGTTATTATTTTAGAGGATACACTGCCACAACACGACGAAACAATGGACTGTGCTCGAAATGTTGAACAAAAAGAAAGAAAGAGGAAATATCCTCTCCTTTTTATCTCTTTTTTCCCTTTTTTTTTTTCAGTATGTTGTTTGACCACGCTTGAAATATTGAACGCCCTAAAATTGATGCCATCTCCATCTAGAATTAAAAAATGATTTCATCGACAGTTATAGGAGGTCATAAAATGAATAATTTGACAAAACAACTTTTTAAGTCACACTACAACTAAAGAATCTGGATCTTGCTCCCGGGCCCAAAAATAGCATTGATATGATCTTGGCATACATGGGTAAGTCAGTTATCTAAAAATCCATTTAAAATAACTTATAAATAATTTTTTAATTGTTATTTACAGAATATAAGATAAGTATATAAAAAAAATTATTTTAATTTACATAAAACTTGTTTATAACTGATTTCTAACGTCACGCGTCCTAAAATTTTAGTGATGGCTTTTTCCCGAAACAAAGGCAGCATAATAATGACTCACGTATTTAATGTTAGGAATTCTACAGCGCTTTTTTCCGACGAGAAACGGGAAAAGGAAGGGTGGGAATGATGGCGGGGGCAGTTAAGCAACGGTGCTGCGACATTCACGTCCTCTGTTTTTAACTCTCTGTCCGCCTTCTTTTGCCTTTTGATTTATACTACTAACTAAATAGCCAAATATCATTAGCTTTTAGCTGTTTTAAAGCAGGCATGCATTGTATAGTATGACATCTAAACAACAGCATGGTGATGATTCGTGTTAAAAATTAAAGAGCTTTGATATAGACGCATGGTTTCAGCACCAAGAACGGAAGCGCGGCATGCATTCCTGATTGACTATTCACTCACCCTATAACATTAAGACGGAAATCTTTTCAATGTGGACAAATTCTCAACAACTTTCATCATTTAATCTAAGTTATACAGGCTCCAATGAAATTTGATTACACTAGCATTCCAAATGAGACCGAAATGTGGAAAGTTTAAACCCGTACACAAACATTACAATCACCAAGAACAACAACCACCACTTGGTGAATCAGATTGTGGAGGTTTCTCCTTGAAGATGTTCTTTTTCACGCCGGACGAGCCCTCAGCCAAAAGGCTTGGCGTTTCCAAAATCTGCAGATCAGCGGTGGAACCCATGTCAGAATTCGCCATTCCACTAATAGAGGATTGAGCATTTGGTAAATATAGAAAAGAAAATAGGAGAGTAAAATCTAAGCCCAATACTTTTGCCAAAAATGGTAAAAGATATAACGAGCATGTTGATTAGATTAAGGATTGCAATGGTCAAACAAATGCAAACTCTACAGTAAGTATACAAAGGGCCCAGAAGTATAGAGCCAGGACAATATTGAGCCTTATTCTCCACCCCGTGAAATTTTGCCAGGTCATTGCTTGAAACTCTTAACTTTGGGTTTGCTATTGTGCTACAAGACTCCTAGAGAGAGAAAGGGGTTTCCTTTAGCCATTTTTTTCATGAGCTCTTAATTCGTTTCATTTATCAGTGTCAGTATCTATGGAATGGGAACACCAAAACATTAGAAATCACAGCGTGCATTTGTCCATCTCAGAGGGGAGTAGAGGAGTCCGAGAGTTGCATGGGTCCAATACCTTTAATACAAGCTCCTCAAAACACTGCTCCACATTGACTCGGGTTTTTGCACTGCATTCAGTGAAAAGGCATCCATATTCTCTGGCGAAGTCTATCCCTTCCTTTTTGCTGACGACCCTTTCATTTTCCTGAAATATGAGACAATTTGGTTGCACATTCTTAGACCAATAATTTAACAGCTACCAATGGAACCATAATAACTTGTCGATAAGCTCATACAAAAATACAAATTCTTGAAAAGCATACCTTATCAACTTTATTGCCTACAAGCATCTTGATACAATCTTGATTTGTCGAGTATAAGTCAATTTCCTTAGCCCATATATCAGATAGATTTGTAAAGGTTTCTCTCCGTGTTACATCATATACTGTATCATATTGCAGATTACCGACTTAATAAAAAGGTGTATAGTATATAATGTGACAAAAATGCAGCTGCCACAGATTAATTAAAAAAACTGTAACTTAATTTCTTTTAGAATAGAAACAGGCCATTGCTATCCTGTTGTAGCCAAACTTATGGTCTAAGAATCAGTACAATATTCATTGAAATCTAGAGATAACACCAAATTTAAAAAAATAATTAAAAAAAATGCCAGCGACAAATAAATGAATAAAAACAGAAAACTGCGCACCTATAAGCTAATTCTATCTACCCTAACGGCATATAGAGTGAATCAGATACTCAAATTGCAACAAAATTTAAGCAAAAGTAAATTCTGCTCTCAAGGAAATTGTCAATTCTCACTCCTCAAACTTTCAATAATTCCAACTTGAAGGTAACTACCAGCAAGTTATTCAGATTTGAGGTCATTAGGCTTAGTTCATTAACACGAGTAAAATGGCCCACTGATCATGGGCGAACGCAGAGAACCTTGATCTAATTTTGTCTTCAGTGATGCCAGTCATGTAGGCATGCTCATTGTCTTCTCAACAGCTCACATATTTGGGCTCTAGCTTGCAGAAACTTCGGTTCAATCCACATTTTGTGACTTGCCCAGTCCCCTCCAAGTCCTAATTAAGCATTTCACTTGGTGTAGCAGTCAGTACCACCAATATTGGAGTTGCATTCACATAGTCCCCCGCCTTCACTAATACATCCCCAGTCCTCTAATCTAGGACTCGTAATTTTAATATAATTTCAGATTCAGCCATGTTATCAAATTTTGCCATATGACGGCATCCCGCCATGAATATAAGAATCACGGAAAACATCCATTTGAAAAAATGATAAAGCAAGAATCTTCTATCAGCAGAAACATAAGATAGAAATAGAAGCACTACTAAACCGTCATATAATGTGATTCAAATAAACAAGCTGCAAAAGTTCAATCAATTTCTAACAGATGTGCAAATCATATTCAAGAAATATTGATGGGAAATATAGCTATAAGAAGGAGAAAATCAATATACCCATAATTATTCCTTGAGCTCCTCTGTAATATGAACTAGTAAGTGTTCTAAACCTTTCCTGCCCGGCTGCTCAAATAAGAAATACAAAGTCATTTCAAAGATGGTTGAGATACCTCTCATGCTTTATTCATAAAATTTTGCAACAAAAAGGACCCAAAAAAAGGGATTTTATTTCTGCCAAACTCTCGAGTCTCAAGTCTCAACT